AAATCAGAATTTCAAATATATTTTAAATGTAACCTGTTGACTTTAGATGAAAGTTTTGTTTTTCAGGGCATGAGTAGGTCCACGATTTTAATATGTAGTACCTGTTTTGTTATGTCTAAGACTGTTGCTAATTGGAAGTAGAATTTTCTTTTTTTTTTTTTTTTTGTGGGAGGTTATTTTTCAACCTTGACAAAGTTTGTCAGCTTCAAATTTACACTTACAAAATTTCCAGCAAAAATTACTGCACTTTCTAATGCAGTGGTCAGGAAAACAACATAGCACATCTTCTTGCTAGATCAGGCCTCCAATTATCTTCACAGGAATAGAAGAGAATTTCTTCTTTCTCTCAGTTCAGTGGGACTTCTGAGACACAGCACTTCTGAAAATCTGACTGCTGTTCAAATAGTGAACACAGAATTCCAAAGCCTTATTTCAGAGAATGATGTCCTCTTTAACAAAAGGCAGTAACCGAAATGTATTTTCTAATGTTGAATCACATTAGGCCTAGCTGTACGTAGACACACCATACTGGCTATTGGCCCTGCCTTAGTTTTTTTGACTGCAGGTCAGCCTAACCTAATTTGTTGGGGCAGATGTTTGTAAAATGAAAGAATTGAGAATGGAGTCATTATAAGTAAATAATTCATTAAAAATAACTTTTTTAGCTCAAAGAATATTTGGAAGCAGATGAGGGATACTTCATGCATGTTTTTTCTTCCTTATTTTAGAAGATGAAAAACTATTTTCAGAACAAATAGTCTAATGAAAAAACTAAAAAATCCTTGCACCAAGCATAACATTGGTTAGGGTTAGGGTTTATTTTAATCTATTCTGTCTTGCCACACATAAGCAATAATAATAATAATTAAAAAAAAAACACAACAAAAAACAACAATAAACAGAAAAGCCAGGATATTGTGTGTTTCTTGGATTTTTTTTTTTTTTTTTTTGAGGAGAATATATTCTACAGTGCAGTTGAAGCTTTGAAAAATTAAAAAAAACCCTACTTGCTCATATTCACCTAGCTTTAGAGTACCAGCAAATTAAGCAATGTTGGAAATGTGTAGAACATTACAAGAAAGTAGATCTTAAGGAAGCTTGTTACTATAGGATTTCACCTAAAACACGAGGAGATTTAAATTAGATCTTCATTGGATCTGTGCATGTTGTTCTTCAGATGGATCTGCAGCTGGTGGGCCATGAGTAAAAACCACTGCTGGAGCTGCTATGACAGACAAACCAGCCTCTTGGAAGGATTTTATTAATTTTGTGCTCTTGGCTGAGTAAAAGGCATTACAAGTCTTAAAGCAGAGTAGTCATTAAAATTAAAGTAGAGACATGTTTAATTATCCCCTCTCTGTCACCTCTGCTTGTCTGTCACCTTTCACTCTGACCTGCTTTTATTCTTCTTTCCCTAGCACTCTGTGGACCAGATTCTCATTGGTGACATCAGTGATGCTGAGATCAGAAATTGGCTCCTTGCCTCTATTTTTCCCTTGCCTTCCCTCTAATTTGCCTTTCCCTGCACTCCTCTTCAAAGACTCTTCGCTGCAGCTACCAGTGCTTTGCAGGTATCCTTGACTACAGCTCGCATTTCCCAATCTGTGGCCAGCTGGAGTAACTCCCTGGTATGATATAATTCAGATCAAAGGCAGGTGGCCAATCAGCAAACGAGCAACTTGTTGGCACAGAACAGAAGTGACTCAGCCACTATTTGGTCCCCTCTTTAGTATTAAATTTGGCCAAAAAGTAGTTGTGGGTGATGGATCTTGAAGACAGTGGATTGCGAGTCATGGTGAGCTGTACCAATTAAAACCAAAAAATGGCTCTTCTGGAACTGGATGTAGTCACAGACTTACCTGATCATCAATACAGCTTCAAGGTAAAACCAGCACAGCCCAGTACTGCCACGGATTTGTAACATGCTTTATGGAGATGGCACCAAAATAACTTTGTAATGCAAAAATCTATGATTGGATGGATAGCAGAATTTCTATGGGATTGGAAAGAAAACTGTGAAGTATCTTAATGAACATTTAAAGATGTTAATTGCAATACTGTAACTGTAGCATATACTCCATTTATATATAACCCATCTGGAGTAGGTTCTAGGCACAAGCCGCTATGTGCACAGTGATCTGAACATATTTACAAAGCCGTGCTTGTATTTGAAATCAAAGTACATCCTCCTACAAACATTTCCACCCCATGAAGTTACTCAGCAAGTCGTTAAAATGATAAGCCACTATTTATTTTCACTATCTATCTTGGAAGGCTTGTTTTTTAAACAATATTTCTAAATGGAAACCAAATTTAAAACCACAAGTTTTTAAACCTACCTGTTGTAATTCTTGTTGACAGTGGTTGTTTCACAGAATGCCTTCAAAATATCCCTTTTCTTTCCATCAGGTAATTAATGCAATTTATTGAGCTGCAAGGGAAAGTTCACCATGTCAACAAAGATTCAACATTTCTACAAGTTAGGTCATTGCATAAAGATTTAACCTATGTGTGCTGTCCATATCTTTGCCACTAGTTTATTCTTTCTTTCAGGGAAATTGTATGCTGCTTTTGTGCTTCCAAAGTAGCAATTATCTATCTCACAAGAATTTGGGTGCTTGGCCAACTTACATTTGCAAGAACATTATTCTCCACAGTATACTTGCAGACATAAGGAAACAGTGGGGGAGAAAATTCACCACCATGGCATGCTGAGCCAGAAATTCTACCATCATGTGTCAACATGGCTCCATATGCCAGGAGTACATAATATGAAGGCCAGTGTTAGGGATCTGGAGTGTTGGTACAGTTTACTAACTCAGTTTATCATCCAATGCAAATTAGTGCTACTTTCTTTAACCCAAGGTACAAAATAAACGAAAGCAGTATTTCTCAGGAAGAGAAAAATGTGGTAGCTATGTGCAGTATAGTTCCAGAACACTTTGGCAGCAGTTCACTTGCTGTTATTTAAGTTAAAAATGAAAGCACTTCCAAAGAGGGGCAAACCAAGATCCCACACGTGTACTTTGAAAAACAAAGTAGGAAAGATTCCACCCATGACATTTCAAGTCCCATCTGCACTAATGTCTTTGCCAATTCTGGAAATCAGTGCTTTGTTCTTCCAAAGACTTTCTGTCAAAGACTGGTCAGTAGACACAACCCCCAGTATAGCTGCAGACCTCCATTTCTGAATGTTTAATCTGAGGGTCATACTGGTCCCTTGCAGGGCTTGTAGTAACTATCTTAGTCCTTATCATAACAAATCTTCTACTCACTAGTGCCTGCTAATAGTCAGAATGTTTCTTGGCTAAAAGTACACAACAGTGTTGTGCTGGGTTTGTGTGTGTGGGTTTCTGGTAACAGAGGAGGCAGCTACAGCAGTGGCCCCATGTGAGAAGCTTCCCAAAGCTCCCCAGGCTCCAAGTCAGACCTGCCTCTGGCCAAGGCTGAGCCAATTGCATTGACATAGTGTTTAGGGATATGGAGTAGTTGGGAACTGTCAGTGTTAGGTTAATGGTTAGAGTAGATGATCTTCAAGGTCTTTTCCAGCATTGATGATTCTGTGATTCTGGAATTGCCAACAGTGGCTGCAACTGTGCAATAACATATTTAAAAACGAGAATCTGAGGAGAGGGAGTTGGGAAGGAGGAGTATGAGAAAGACACCTACAGGAACATCAAGGTCAGTAGAAGAAAGGAGGAGGAAGAGGGGAATGCATTGGAGGAGAGATTCCCCTGTATCCTGTGGTGAGAGGGCACGGTTGCCCCACCCCTGCTCCTGTGGAAGTCCACAGTGAAGCAGAGATCTGCCTGTGGAGGACCCCATGCTGGAGCAGACAGCTGCACCCAAACCCAGGACTCTATGGGAAGAAGAAACACTGGCTGTTGTTTGTTTGTTGCTGGAGGACTGCAACATGCAGAGGTGACCCACATCAGAGCAGCTCAGGAAGAGCTGCAGCCCATGGGAAGGACTCACACCAGAGAAAAACCATGGAAGACTGTCTTCTGTGAGAGGGAAATCAAGCTGGAGCAGGGGAAAATGTGAGGAGTCCTCCCCACGAGGAGAAAGAAGCAGCAGACTGACCATAACCTCCACTCCCTGTCCCCTACGCTGCTGAGGGGCAGAAAGTAGAGAGATGGGAACAAAACTGAACCAGGGAAGAAGGGAGGAGGTGGCGGGGAAGGTGTTCATGCTTCTCATGGTCCCACTGTGTCTGTTAAGTGGTGGTGGTAGTGTTTAAATTTAAGTGGTGTTCTTTTTTTCTTCCTGTGTTTGTCTTTTGCCTATAACTGCAATGGGTGCTCTCTGTCTTTATCTCAATTCCTGAGCCTTTTGCTTAATTTTCTCCTTCCCAGTCCTGAGCAGGGAAGGGGCGAGTGGATGGCTACGTGGTGCTCAGTTGCCCTCTGGGCTCAAACCACAACAAACATAAAAGAAACAATCCACATACATGTTGAATAACACTGCCTGGAAAATGGCACTTTTCATTATGACTGAAATTTGAGTTCTCTGAAGGCTGACTTCCTTACTCCTCAGTTTAGCAGTAACCTCTCCACAATCTCAGCAGTGTTAAGGTACTTGTTCCTTAAATTAGTTACCTTGCTTTAACTGTAACAGAAAATAGCAAAGTGTACATAAGCTAAGGTAGCATGTTAAGAGGGTTACTTGTTTACAGTCTCTATGCACTCTACTTAATCCCCAAGATCATCCTCTAACCAACCACAACTGTTAACTGGTTCCGTATGAAACTGCTTATGCAGAATGTTCAAAAAACACCTATCAGATGAAACAGTGCATAGAAATCAGTTTTGAATTTATATACCAGCTACCAGCAAAAGCTGTAGCAGCCATGAGGAGGCAAAAGAACTGGCTTAGTCAAATGTGCTTCCCACTAGCTGCCAGGAACCTCCATTTCATATTCCTTGGCCCAGGTTTCTTCCTGTTGGTTAGTTTTAACCCTGCTTGTTTCTCATTTCTATTATGGCCTCTCTCATTCTTACCTCCTCCAGTGCTTCCTCTGATCCTGTCTTTCCTCTGCTCCTTCCTCAAACAAACAAAACTCCATTTTCTTCCAAACAGAGTATGCATATCAGCTAGGAAAACAGAAGTAAGCTAACAGGTTTCATGTACATCTACACATTTGAAGGCAGATTTACAAAAAACCAAAAAAACAAAAAAAAAAAGGAAAATAGAACACAGCAATTAGGTACAGGAAAGAGAATGGGTACTTAGAAGGAACATTATTCTCTATTGGGATCCTTCAGAATAGCCAAAATTTTGCTTGTTTAGGGGGTGACAGGACAGGGAGTCATGAATAGCTGTGGATCTATTAATGATGCTGATAATGGAGTCTCATCTCTAGATTTGGCAGAGTAATACAGTACCACACCCTGTGAATGTTATTCTCTATGGGTGCTGACTACATAGCAGCGAGACCCACTGTCTCCAGTGTATTTGTGTTCCTCAATATTCCATGAGGTTTTGGTAACAACTTTACTATCAAGTTGCCCATGGGCTGAAATTAGATCTTACTGCTATTGTCCTTACTCATGCATAGGTCTGATCCCTTTATTCCAAAATTCTTCATGTGGTGACAAACACAGGTTTTCATGCCTGCTGTGCGGGCCAACATGCCAGGCAACATGAGCAGCTGTCCAACCAGCCAAGTGCTTTTCAAGTGGGCAATTTCTATTTAACTTTTGGAATGGTTTCAGAATCTAACCTGCTGCTGGTACATCTATGGCTAACCTTCCAGGTTGAATCTGTCTTGTGCCACACCTTTGCTCTCAGGGGCTGTTTGGACAAGTCCTTTGTGTAGTGGCTTCAGAAGCAGCCATGGTGGTGCCTTCTGTTTGCATTACTCTGAATTTAACTCTTTGCTAGGTTCTAAAATGTAGTCTGTCAAGTGTCTTGCAAGTGAAAAGGACTATGTTTTGGCCCAGGCAAAGTAGGTAACTCAGAACAGCAGACTACCTGCTTTGTCAGGACTAAGATAGCAATATACCAGTTGCTTCAGCAGCCTATACAACCTGAAGTGTCAGTTGTACTTCCTACTTGTGTATCCCTGGCTTCTGAGGAAAACGTTGAGGGATACAAGGCAGCAGCAAAAACAAACATGAGCAACAGAAGTAACAAGTAATTTTCTTATCCTGGCTCTCCCACATAATGACTGAAGTAGTAAGTTTAGTCCTTTCTCAGCAGCCTAATAGGCAGGACAGTAGTTGGCTGTAGTGGGAAGGATGTGAAAAGAAATGCTGCAAGAGGAAATAGAGGCATACTTCTCATTTTCTCCTGTTACAAGCACCTTTAACAAAAGAAAGGTATGATCATAAATCCGAATTTATTAACAACAATGTACCACTCTTAGTTCTAAGTACAAAAGAGCTCCGTTTGTTTACTGTGGTGCAGGATAATGAATGCTTTGCAAGAGATTTCTAGAGATTTCCATGTCTTTCAAACCTGTTTCGGGCCTTACACAACTGCATCTCCAATTACACTGTTGCTAGCTTGCTTTACTTTGTCATTACATCCCCCATAAGTAGTGCTATATTAGCATACATTTTGTAATTGATTGTCATTGTTTCCTTGTTCTGACACAACAGTCCAGTACTGGTTTCCAGTTATCTTTTAAATGTGACTTTATTTGGTGACTGTGGGTAAGGTCATCTTCTATTTCAGACTGCTTGCATCTACCCACTCACAAATTTGTTTTCTTCCTTGCTAATTATTCTTAATGCATTCAGTCTTAGTGGAGGTTCGGAAGTTCACCAGCAAAGGGCAGGTTCTCTGCATTTTTTGAAAAGCTTCTGAAGCAAGTTTCATACAATCGTGCATCTGTGCTGCTTACCAGTCTCTATATCACATGTAATAACATACAGCATTAAATGCTGGTAACATGCATGAACTGAAACGTTAGCATATACTTATACCCAAGCATAATTTTTCATAAAAATCTTAAATGGCTTCCACAAGTACCTAGACTGCAAACTTCCTCTGCTTCGCTTGTTCATAGCAGAGTCCAATGAGAAGGCAAATGGCAGTCAGGGGCAAAAGGTGCACAGTCATAGTCCTTAATGTCATCATAAGCATGTATCAGAATGGATGGAGGCAATATTGAGGCAGGGGATTGTACCCCTGACATCCCTAGAAAAATCCATTTGTCCTGATAAACAGGAAGTAAACAAAAAAAGGGCAAATAATACAGAAACCAATTAACAAAATTATTGGCATTACTGACAAAATAATGACCTATCTACCCAGTTTCATCCTCCAAGATATTAATATCAGGTTCTTTGTAACTAAGGAGTGTACATTTACTCAGCTCATCAGCTTCCCTGGAGCGGAATCACTCTGATTTTGAAAGCTTCTAACCAGAGATGACCCATTTAAATGTATCCCTCTATTTACTGAAATTAAGAAGTGCACTAGAGTTAAATCCCTGCTAGATAAACACCCCTCTAAGTACAAACTCAGTCACTGATGATCTTGCTTTCATTTATAGCTTCATACTTTATGCTGAACAAATGAATTCTGAGATTTTAAACTTACCTGTGTTCTCCTAGATACTAGTATGTTAAGATTCTGTGGCATCTTTCTCCTCAGTATCTTTTCAAGCACTTTCAGGTTATTTAAGACTCTTTATGACCCAAACAACTACCTCAGATAACAAAGTAAAATTTTCTTTTTTTCCCTGATTGCCCTGCCCTGCCCAAGGGAGTGACCTGACATCTAAGGTTCTTTGCTTTATTTTGTTAGTTTTCTTAGCAGGTTATTCTATACACATTTTATAAAAGAAAAAAGTACTTGTTCAACTAATTTCACAGGAAAGTCCTAGGTATTTTTAGGAAATTAAGGAGAGTTAGTTAACTGCCTATGTTTTATACCATCCAGAGGAACAGAAAATATTTTCTGTTTCTTGACAGAAGTATTTGAAAACCATTCACATCAGCCTGTTACATAGAACTTAACTCCCCTGAGTAACTTCTTGTCAGAAATGGGTTACTTTCACATTGTTTAAAACCAGTATCCAATTCTACTTCCTTAGCCACAAAAAGTATATTAAAAAAATTGTTTACAAACCTATTACGTTTTTTCATTATAGTTATGACTATTCTGTGTCTTAGGGGGTAAAAAAAAAAAAAAAGCATGAGGCTAGACAGATCTATTTTTGAGACATAGTTAGAGGTTTTCAGATGGATAAAGGCATTAAAAGTCCTAAAAATCAAACAGGTAGACCACAACACAATGTTATGAATTTGATAATGCTCTCTCACATATATTATATTCCACCTAAGCATTAAAAAGTGCTTGGAGAGAGATGTAGTGCTCTGACTCATAAGCACTGCTGCGAACTGCTGCAACAGTTAAAAGACATTACTAACACACAGACTGCTCTGCCTTCAGCCAGCCAGGACAATGGAGTGTCCTAGCCACCGTGATATATAGTCACAGAATCAGCTAGGTTGGAAAAGATCTTGAAGATCATCTAGTCACACAATTAACCTAACACTGACAGTTCTCAACTACACTGTATCTCTCAGCACTATGTTGAATCTACTCTGAAACACCTCCAGGGATGGGGACTCCACCACTGCCCTGGGCAGCCCATTCCAACACCCAACAACCCCTTCTGGAAAGAAATGCTTCCTAATATCCAGTCTAAACCTTCCCTGGTGCAACTTGAGGCCATTCCCTCTTGTCCTGTTGCTTGTTACTTGGTTCAAGAGACTCATCCCCAGCTCTCTGCAACCTCCTTTCAGGGAGCTGTAGAAGGCGATGAGGTCTCCCCTCAGCCTCCTCTTCTCCAGACTAAACACCCCCAGTTCCCTCAGCCGGTCCCCATACGCACCAGCTTCATTGCCCTTCTCTGGACACGCTCCAGTCATTCAATGTCCTTTTTGTAGTGAGGGGCCCAAAACTGAACACAGGAATCGAGGTGCGGCCTCACCAGTGGCGAGTACAGGGGTGAGATCCCTTCCCTGTCCCTGCTGGCCACGCTATTGCTGACACAAGCCAGGATGCCATTGGCCTTCTTGGCCCCCTTGGGCACACTGCTGGCTTCTGTTCAGCCGGCTGTCAATCAACCCCCCCAGGTCCCTCTCTGACTGGCAGCTCTCCAGCCACTCCTTCCCAAGCCTGTAGCACTGCTGGGGGTTGTTGTGGCCCAAGGGCAGCCCCCGGCATTTGGCCTTATGGACACTCCCCCAGTTGGGCTCAGCCCATGGCTCCAGCCTGTTCAGGTCTCTCTGCAGAGCCTCCCTACCCTTGAGCAGATCAACACTCCCACCCAACTTGGGGTTATCTGCAAACTGACTGAGGGTGCACTCAATAAAGGTGTTAAACAGGAGTGGCCCCAAAACCGAGCCCTGGGGGACACCACTCGTGACTGGCCACCAAGTGGATTTAACTCCGCTCACCACAAATCTTTGGGCTCAGCCTGACAGTTTTTTTACCCAGCAAAACGTGGGCCCATACAAACTTTGAGCAGCCAGTTTTGCTAGGAGAATGCTGTGGGAAATGGTGTCAAAGGCCTTACTGAAGTCAAGGTAGACAACATCCACAGCCTTTCCCTCATCCAATCAGCAGGTCACCCTGTCGTAGAAGGAGATCAGGTTTGTCAAGCAGGACCTGCCTTTCACAAACCCATGCTGACTGGGCCTGAGCATCTGGTTGTCCCGCATGTGTTGTGTGATGGTACTCAGGATGAGCTGCTCCATCAGCTTCCCGGGCACTGAAGTCAAGCTGACAGGCCTGTAATTTCCCAGATCATCCTTCCGACCCTTCTTATAGATGGGCATCACACTAGCAGATTTCCAGTCTGTCGGGACGTCCCAAAGTCTCTTCAGCAGGCTTTATTTTCAGTTCAAAAAAAAGAGCAGGGTGACTTTGAAATGGGTTGTAACAGAATCTCTTTTCTCCTTTGTTTCAGGCACCACTACCCTTTAGGGTTCTCTTAGGGGAATAATTTTGCCTTCACGTTTACTAGTTTTCCTTTTTTAAGTCTTCAGCACGTACATCCAGTTCCATCCTACACCTTCTCAACTGGAAAGCTGTTTAACTCCAAAGAAATCAGATCCCAAACTGATCCTCAGAACAAGCTGCTCTTCCACATCTTTGCAAGAACACTGCATCCTGTTCCACATCCCC